CTTCGTGGCCACAGCCCCATGCACCACCCTCCTCTGCAGGTCAGCTGTACGCTTCTCTATGGGGGGTTTGTACAGGGTCTTCCAGCAGCCCATGTGGGAAGCGTCAGGTGCCAAAGTGCCCAACCACCTAGAAGCTGCCACCCCTGTCAGAGAGCCGTTATTAAGAACTTTCACACTCAGTTCATAAAGCGCCTTATTAGAGGTCCCCGCAAAGTCTGCGGCACTCTGAAAGAGAGTAACACACCAACATCCTCCCGATGCCCCTCCACTGCCGCTGAAACATGCACGGTCGGGAAAGGCCGTCTCAGATCCCCTATCCCGTCCTCCAAAACCCTCCAGGAAGAGCCAAGGAAATTTTATTAAGGATCGACTGAACGACATGGCTTGACCGGAGCCCCATCTCAGTACACAGGACTAAAACAGACTATCAGGCCCCACCCTGTCTCAAATGCCCAAGCTTGGTAATACCCGCCGCCACCATGTGCCGTCGAAAAAAAACAGACACCAGCGCACTGGTCTGAATCAGGGGGATGTAAAACAAGGACTCCACCTCCACGCTGAGACACGGCAGAGAGCCAGGCCTATCAACTCTCAGCACCTATGACCACACTTTCAGAACAGACTGATAAAACTTGGTGGTCGCTGATATGTCCACAGGTTTCAGGTCCAGTACTAACAGATTTCTGTCATAACCTAAGTCCTCCACTCGCCGCAACAACATGCAGGCTGTGTCGGCCCACAATAACTCTTCACTATGCAACAACCTCTGAGCCGTCTTTAGTCTGAAAGCCGCGACACGTCCAGCAATGTCAACAAGTCCCTGACCACCTTCCCCACTGGCAGATAAAGCACTGAGGCACGGGTCCAATGCTGACCGGACCAAGCGGACCGGAGAACGGGACACACCCAGTACAGCTAAAACTTTAATCCAACTGATGCAATCAGCTGATGTTTATGAACAAGATATGCTTCTAGCAGTGCTGGAATACTGATGAACCCTCATCTGACCTCTATGGTCCTAAAAACCAGCAGGACACCAGCGGGGCCCCCAATACACCCTGTGCTGAACACAGCCACCCTGTGGCTCCTTCACTGTATCCCCTCATTCTCCAGTTACACATTCGAATGAGGGAACGCCCTCCTCATTTCCGAAGCCCCTTCTCCACACTGGGAGGTAATGCGAAATGAGAAAGTAAATATTAACGACTCAGCAGTGAGAGACCTTCAAAAAAAAAGGGTTGAATTTGTGCAATTACCCAGGAGCAAAGTAATGATCTGAAGGGATCCAACTTTATAAATCCAATTATTTCGTATAAAAGCACCCCGATAAATAACCTCAGAGCTGGTATATCACAATTAACTGTTGCAGGAAATATCTTATCCTGGCTACTTATAACAAGTTGACATCATTTTCATTTTCATAAAAGGCTCCCACATCAAAAGGTAGACTCCCGCTTCCATAAAGAGATCCCAATGTACTTTCAGTTATCACACCCCTACACCGTATTAAGGAGAACAAGCCCCAGAGTGTAAGCCGATACCAGATCCAAAGGCTACATCAGCGATACATGCGTGTCCCAAACCCCCCCCCCAAGTTCATAACCATACTGATCTGCACATCACTGCATGCTTACACTTGGCGCTGGACTGGTCAGCTGGGTGTTGATTCATTTTCTATAACTACAGCTGTGGTGCCAGCCAGGTAAATCACAGTAGTAAATCAATGTGCAATTATAATCTTTAATTCTGACTAATGTTACTTAAAAATCCAGACAAGAAACACAATTCAAAATTAAGTGAAGCTAAGCAAAATTTTTGATCATTGGCGGAAGAAGTTAGTTCTAGTAATAAATGCAAACACACTTTGCTGCTGATAGTGTAGCACATAGGATTTGCTTATGGCCGCATAATGGGTCGGTCAGCTTGACTGTAAGGCAGTGGATCCTGGACTTTCATTGGCTCATCAGCCTGGAGGGGCCGTCTCACCTTCCCAGGAGCCCCCACCAAGCCGGTGCCCTGGACTCAGCCACGCGCTGACCTGCCCCACCCTGAGGAAAAGGCTTTTGCCACAAAGACTGTTGTGGTTCGAGTGAGAGGATAAGAGCGAGTACCAGGCACAGGCCCAGAGAACATGCAGAGTGTACAGCGGAGCCTCTTTCGTTACCTGCCTGCATCTCGTCTTACATCTCGCCAGATTTCCCCTCAGCTCTCGTGTGGAAGTGAGTGGCAGCGGCAAGGGCCGACGAAAGAGAAACAGCTCAGAAAAGTGATGGCGATGGCGACGGCGGGGACGAGCACAAGGACGTCTCTCCAGAAGGTGCGAGCACAGCTGTGGAGGGACGCCACGGCGCTACTGCTGGTGAAGTCACATGGCGTTTGGCAGCATGTCCAGTTCCCTACTGTCCATGGCATACAAACTGGCAAATTTCACTGACTGTAGACAGGTCCGCTCTCCTGTGCCCCCAGTGGCCGACACTGTAAATTACACCCTGTCGCTTGTGTCCCACTGCCATTAACAATTTTTCATCTAGAAAGCTAGAATGCTCTCCAGGGAAGAACAGCAGCCCACCGGCACCAACTCCCACTACAGCCCCCTGCCCACCTCTCTGGCTCTGGCCTCTGGCTTTGTGGAGCGTCATTCATTCTCCTATCACTGTTCTCCAGTTTCCCCAGCCATTACACCCTTATGTATTCCTGTCTGCTATTATTACCATGCATTATTGATGTGGGTATTCTTTTCATTTAAACACATGCAGGTCGACACTGCAATGTATCATCTTTCTAACTGAGCCCCAGAGATCCCCTCAAGGCCGCAAATTTCTGCTGTCAAAGTGAAACCTTCAAAATCAATAAAAGATCCCACTTCGTAATATCCAAACAAGGCAGGAACAAACGTACTTGCTCTAAACAACGTTTACTGGCCTGTGGGGAACGCTAAGGCCGCAGCTCCTGGCTCGGGGGCCCAGACTCCCCAGTACAGCAGTAGGGACTCCTCCTTCTCATTTTCAATGATATGGTTTCAGAGTCGATGGTGTCTAGATCAGAAAACGAAGGGCTCGCTTATGTACAGTACCAGTCAAATGTTTGGACACACCATCCACAGAAAAATTTATTTGTACTATTTACTACATTTTCGATTATAAAGACAGCAGAACTATAAAACTATATATATGGAATCATGCACTGACCAGAACAACAAACAAAAAAAAATAATTTGTTGGGGGGCCAACAGCTCTGTGGGTTTGGACTCAAAAGGTTGCTGGTTCGATTTCCTAGGTGAACAGAGTGATCCCACCCATTGGGCCCTTCTGCAAGGCCTTTAACCCCAGTTGTTCCAGGCACTGGCTGACCGTACTTTCTCCTCTACACCAGCTTCATGAGGTGGCCTCCTGGGATGCTTTTCCAGCTGTCCCGATGGAGCTCCCACATATATCCTGGTCAAACTACTCAAAAACCATTTATACTGCGTTTAGGTCAGGTGTCCAGGTCATGTGATGCGATACTATCACTCTCCTTCATAGATGGCTTAGCGTGTCCACTTTTGATTGATACTGTAACTCCTTTACTGAGAAAATGGTACTCCCCAGAGAGACCTTCTCTGAGGCTAGGAGCTCCACGCCTGGCGACATCAAGAAGGCCACAAAAAACAGAGCTTGGCTACCTTCTGAGGACAGGCCAGTGAACTTCAGGTACGCTCAACACAATTCAGAGAAGGGTCCGATGTAAGCTTGGCTAACTTTGCAAAAAAGCTTCAAAAGCTTGTTTAGCTATGAAAGTGTCAGGAGTACTGTTACAGCCAGGGCTCTGGAGGCATCAGTCCATAAGGACGGGACGGCTCCTCAACCACGATTGCCCACTTTAATGGAGGAGGCAAGGACATGGAGCAGGAAAGCAGCTTTGGACTCTTCACACAACCCCCTGTCCGGCAGCGTTAGCACTATGCTAAGAGAGCGCCAGTCAGAGATAAGAGCGTCACATCATTACAATCCACATTATTTATTTATCACAGCTTGATTCGCACGAAATGTCTGCTTAACGCAGCGAGCGGCGTCTCTGACTGGCACGTTCACATTATCTAAGAGAAACACGCGCACTGAGAGCGGCTTAGCGCCACTGCTACTGTCAGCAGAGCACGGCACCACGCAGCCCGGGGTAATGACACATCAGCCACGTGGCCGGGCGCATAAAGCCGCGCGAGTTCGGCCACGGTATTTTTAACGACGTGGAGGAGACGCAGAATAAGATGAACATGCACACAGCGTACAATGTACATCAGGTATATATGCTACTGCATGATACTGAAGATGTCATAGTAAAGCCTTGTTTGATGTCCTAGATCTAAAGTTAACATCAGATAAAAGATCGATCATCCATCCATCCATCCATCCTTTCATATCCAGGTCACAGGGGCAGCAGTCTGAGCAGAGATGCCTCCCTAGCCACCTCCACCAAGGGAACACCCAAACATTAAAGCTAAACTGTTCACTTTTTGGTGTGATGCACTCCTTTGCTTAGCCGCCAGGGCAATATGTAGATGCATGGTAGTCTACCCCGTCACCCATGACCATCACAGCCAGGGGGAGCAGAGGAAGCAGGTCCCATACGTACCTTCGAGCCGAATCACTCCTGGGGGAGATCTATCCGTGCAACGGCACTGAGCAGAGATCCCAGAAGGAGCCTTAACTTGTCATATATCAGATAATCAGGATGAACTCACTCTAGGAAATCGACTCGTGGCTTAGACATGAACAAGACTGACTGAGTGGTCCTTACTAGTTCTTACTACCAATATATTCCACAGTTATAAAAACAACTGTAACATATAAACCAAATTATTCCTTTGATGTACTGACTGCATATAGAGACTGGTATTGCTTGTGACATGCTCATTAAAACACTGATACAGCGACAAGGTGACCACTGAATACTGTGCTTGGACTCTCATGCACACTGTCCAAGCAGGATCACGGGCACCCAGAAGAAATGCACAAAAGGCTTAATATTGTGTAATTGTTTGTTTACAATATTTATGCAATTACAATATATTTGCTTCAGGTAGCTGTTTCCACTAAAAGGGATGAATACAGTTGACATTTGGCAAAACAGAACCTCTGTCTTTGTGTAATCAGATGGCATCCACTGAAATCAATTATGCAAACCCTGGCCGTAGATCCTTAATAAAAAGGGCAGCTTAATACGGGGTGAATCGGGGAGAATTTGAGAGGCACAGAAGCGCACAGCCTCCTCTAGGCCTGGGAGAACCTACAGAACTCCCAGCCTGAAAACGGCGCCATTACTTAGATGATTGCATTTGGCAGCTCTGGGGCCTGCACTTTGATCAAGATGGATGGGTTTTTTATTACACTCAGACATGGATCCAGCAGTCCCGCTGCGTTTGCCTACAGAGGTCGAGTCTAATTAAGACGAGGAGACACCGATAAAGGCCTTCACGAACCAGGCATAACGATGCAGACGTCCAGGGTGGGGTCAGAGAAGGAGACCTGGGCTGGTGATGCAGACATCCGGGGGGTCAGAGAGGGAGAGGCGGGGCTGACGGTACAGACGTCCGGGGAGGGGTCAGGAAGGGAGACCTGGGCTGACAATATAGACATCTGGGGGGGTCAGTGAGAGAGACCTGGGCTGACGATGCAGATGTCCTGGGAGGGGTCAGGGAGGGAGACCTGGGCTGACGGTGCAGACGTCCGGGGGGGTCAGAGAGGGAGACCCGGGCTGACGGTACAGACGTCTGGGGAGGGGTCAAGGAGGTAGACCTGGGCTGACGATACAGACGTCCGGGGGGGTCAGAGAGGGAGTACTTTAAAAGCCCTGCGATCTTGCAGTGGTGATCCATCACACAATCATCAGACTGACTGACTCAGTCAAAGCTTGGTCAAAGTAGCCTTTATACAGCTTGTGTAACTGGCCTTACTGGTCTGGATTTTAGCTAGTGACATCATGGCACCGCATCATGATATAACAGAATTCTAGTCAAATGATGTTTATTATTATATATTATATTATTATTTCTACATCCGGCAAGCAAACTCCACACAGCTGTATAAACACAAACAGCTAAGTGGCCTGAAAGCTCCATTTCACTTTTTTTCCAGCACACACACAAGCACCAAGCTTTTCTTCAGGACCCATTATGAGCACAATGGTCTACATCTCCCTCCCATTCACATTCAAAAGAGCACCAACAACTAATGGAAAAGACATAGTGACAAACGTAAATAAAAGTAAATAAAAACAGACAATTAATTTGAGATCAGTAAAATCATGAGTCATCACACTTCCAGGTTCAACAGGCAGGGATAAAAAACTTTTCGGCTTGCAGAATACTTTCTACAAAAGCCAATTAAGGTAAGCAAAGGAACCAGGGGGAGATGGAGGACGGATGTGAATGGAAACCTTGGGTGGACGGAGGGAGCTTGGGAACAGAAAGAGGTGGAAAGTTCAGGATCAACCAACCATTTGAGTATTCCGTGACTGAAAGATGGTGGGAGAGTGCAAACTGGAAAAAATGTGTACAATAAAATTTTCGTAATGCAAAAAAACAATATTCATAAATGTTTGTTTACATATATATGAGGCAATAAAAAGCTATTCTTCTATGACAGTAAACAGTAAATGTTTACATTTCCTCATGTCTTTCATAGAATCCAACTCTTCAATGTGGGTGGTGCTTGGTTGAGATGACAATGGCCTTTTGACATAATAAAGCCTCAGTCTTCTTCCACCTTCAGTCATGTCCTACAGTCAGCATGGAGGATCACTGTGCAAATTGGAGCCAGCTGACCAGGTTTCTCAACCAGCTGCCCAACATGGAGGCCTTCATCCATAGGAAGACTTCATACAGGTTGATCTGCCACAGAGTGAGAACCTCGGACAGGAAGATCTGCAGCCAGCGAGGTCTATATCTGGCTTTACTTCTGCCATGCCTGAAATGGAGGGATTAGTGGTCAGGAAGAGAGAGATACTTACAAAGAGTTTCCATCAAATGCCGCAGAACACTCATATGGATGCAGGTTTTTACTGATTTCAGAATTACCAGCAGCAAAATACCTACATCCAACACAGCGGCAATTCATCACAAGTCATTTATTTTGATGAGCTACCCAGCAAGCTAAAAGCACAAAAAGCCTGGGAACATTCACTGTACAGGAGTGCTTCCAACGCACTGTAAAAGGAGTGTATAATGAGGTAAATGAGCGTGGCAGCTGAATGCTCTCACTGCGGCCAGGGGGGTGGTTGCTGAGGAGCACTGCAACACCCAGGAAAGCACTGCCGCCTTGAACCGGCGAACAGCACCGAAATCATGTTCATCTCTGCCAATTTTCAAACAGCAGAGTGCCCGACGGAACTGCGAGTCTGACAATGCACACATCTGTCAGGGATCTCCAAAAACAAGAGGCTGGAGGAGGCGTCGGTGTTTCCCGTCTGTGTGACACGTAACGCTTTGTTATACAGTGAGACGAATAACATAGGACGTGGGATGGGATCCCTGATGGGATGAGTTGCGAGACAACATGCTTGATCCACACACGCTTGAGAAAGACTTTGGTGGGTTATAGTTTACTAAAATAGTTTAAAAACAGCATTGATACAGGCCTATGGAGACACCTTCAAAGAACCAGTAACTCTAGCAACCAGGAGAAAGACTAACGCTACCCTGGCTACCCAGCAGATAACACAACAAACATGACATCCCATAAAGACCCCTTCATTGTGGTAACTGTCCCTGCTCTGTATGGTGTGGATGAGTAATGTTCTCCTCACTTTGTACGTTGTGTATGAGCAGCGTCCCCCTCAGTCTATACGTTGTG